GATTAGATTATACCTCTTTAACAATCTTTTTGTCTAAATACTTATTGTGAACTTTAAGATGTTTAAGAGCCACAATTGACCCACGTGGTTTCCATGAAGACTTATATACTGTACTAAACTCTTCTTCAGCAACCATTATATGATCGTTAAATTCGCCATAATTATAGGAGGTAATAGTCTTTTTTGAAATGGCTTCTTCAAGCAATTTTCCCGAAGATTTTTCTATGTTTACATGGGTTTCCGTTGGTTTAATTATATATGGATTAAAAAATTCAATAATTTCCTCTATTTTTGGACGGTTGTTTGGTTCATCATCCCAACAACGTTTATAAAGGTCAACATATTCAGGCTGTGTACCCTCTATAGGGGTTTCTCTTTCGCCATTATATATTTTAATAGCAATTTGTATTCTTTTTAATAACGGAAAAGGCTTGTGGCCACTCGAAATTTCCCAAAGAATAACTCCATAGCTATAAATATCTGATTTGGTATCACGTTTGTACGTAGGATTTTTAAAGCACTGGGGATCTATAAATGATGGCATTCCGTCAACAGTCGAGTTTGAAGAACTTGACGACTCGGAATTAATTAATTTAGAGGAAACAAAATCTGTGATCATCATCTTATTATCGTGAACCAGAATATTTTTTGTATGCTACAAAGAAAAAAATAGTTAAATATAAGGTGTTTAAATACTAAAAATCTAGAGATAGATATCCTTACAAGATTTCTATGAATTATATTATTATTATGTAAGAAGACGAGGCCTTGGGCAATTTCTCCTGCGATATGAAGTTTATCTTCCCATTTTAATTTTGAAAAATTTTTATCCAAATATCCACGCAAATCTCCGTCGTTTGCATATTGTAAGACCATCATATAGCTTCCGTAAGGATCTATTTACAAATTTTAAAACCGTTTCAAATCATATTCGTGTCCACCCATTTAAAATTTTAAAATTACACATTAAATGAAACTCTAACCTAGAGTTACACCAAAAAAATGATTTATTTTAGGATGAAAGTTTACTCTTTGAAATAGTTGAAGCTTATATGTATGTAAAACGATTAAATTAATCAAATAAACTTAATAATCAAATTTCTACAAATCAGAAACCAGTCTTCATACCTCCTTTACAAACGAATTTATGTCATTTCCATCAATTTCAACTTTTAAGCTTTTAAGGGCGACTGTCATACCAAAATCCACCCATTCTGATTCGAAAATAGAAATAGTTCCACTATCACTAATTTTTCTGCCGATACTGAATTCACTATATTTAAAGAAATTAACAATATTTTCATCAATAGCATCTTGAAGCCATTTTAGCTTATCGGGATTTTCTGGTTCTTTTGGCTTTTCTTGTTCTTCCATGTTCAAAACTTAAGACATAAAATTACAGCATCCGAATTTTATACGTATGTACGTACGATGCACGTAATCAAAAAACTTCAGAATTACCAAATGTGGAAACGATGTACGTACGTACGTACGTATGTGACTCAAAATTGATTATCATTACCATATAATTTTCCTAAACTGGGTTTTTATCAAAGAGAGGTTCTAGATTTGAACCTATTGTTTTTTCCAAATTGATCACAACATGTGTTTGTATCCAAGTAATGTTCTGTAAGCGATTTATTTTTGATATCTTTACAATGGCCTTGTTTTTCTCGCCCCATGTTTCGAATTTAAAACAAGTGAATTATTTGCATTAAGTTTGTGTTTTGAAAATACATTATATCATAGTTTATTTTTTCGTCAATTACGCATATCCTTAATGGCGACGATTGACAATTAGGTATAACCACATGAAGTAGGCATTGAACACTTAAGGGAGCTGACAAATCTTAGGTAATTATAGCCCACAGAAAATACTAATTCGGCAATATAATTTAATTGCCAAATTGATGTGTCGTGCTAAATTACATTATTGAATAAATATTCCTTGTGGCTATTATTACCAAATATTTGTCATAACGTGAATGCGCACTCTAAAATCGTTCAAATAATTTGGGAGTGTTGCCATTTGTTGAGAGAGCAATTCACGTACAGTACGAAAGTACGTTCGTAAAGTAAGTTTGTTGTAAGATGAAAATATGCCCAAGATCGTTGCCGAGGTGGCCGGTCGATTCTACCATATTATGCATCCAGAGCATATATTACAGATAGAGTAGATATTAGAGATGTTATCCCGCTTATCTAAATCCAGTTCGACTCTGTTTGAAATCAAAACCAGTTAAGTACGAATTTTTGCAATCACTAGATTTTAATTAAAAACTTAAAACTAATTGTGTTTGAATCGAGTTCCAAATCATTTTAAAGTTAATTTCAAAAAAATTAAATAGATTTTTTTTTTTAAAAAAAAATTCTGCAATTCTGCCAGTTTTAACTGCCTAATTGTAATTAATCTTTATTTGGCATTTATATATGAATAAAATGCACTTAACAATAGTTTATTCAATGGATGTGAATTTATACACAACAAAACGTTGAACCTTTAAAAATAAATCAATGCTGATGTGAAATTTATGTAATAACAGGTTTAACAAGCGAACATAACTACCAGAACATTTGTAAAAGCAAAGTTCGAAGCCCGATGAGACCCTTCGGGATTAGAGATGCTGATGAAATTGTTTCACCAATTTCACTAATTCAACACCAGTTTCGCCGATATGCCAATAATGGTGAAATTATTTCACATTCTAATTTTATTTTACCCGCATTTTTATTCGTGATTTACCTTGTTTTCCAAATTTTCCTCTTTCCTAGTTTAGTTAGTCTTCCCAGAACTACTTATTTCCTTATATTCCTGTACCCAACTTTCATATTTATTCCATATATAGTTATTCATACATAATTATGTTTCTCCATTATAGTTTGTGGTTTCACGGAGTTTTGGCTAACGTTTCGGGCTCGCCTGATTCTCTCCACCTATACAACGAAAACCACTCAGTTTATTATTAGGGTTTTACACAAAGCGAATAATAATAATTATTTTATTGGAGAATCTCATCGCTTTAAATATTACAAGATTTCATCCACATATTGGACTTTTAATTAATTAATGTAAATCCGGATCACGTCATTCATGCAATGCGTACGTACGTACGTGCGTTCCACGAACCCTGATTCTAATAATTCAGATCCAAGAAATCCCGGTACGTACGTACGTTCAATGAATTAAACCATGACAATAGGTGTAACGTATTTCATTATAGTTGGGAGTACAGATTGGTTAGCTAATCGATTTCAGTACACCCTCCAAAACCGATAACCTGCTATAACCGATAAAAAATTGATCCATCATATCTGTTCCATAATTAAAACACGATAACCTGCCATTTCTTATAACCAATACCCAAAAGACCAGATATCTATAAGATAACCATCTGGGCGGATTTGTTTCCATTTATTATTGTCACGAAATTCGATTTTGTCACATGATAATCAAAACATAACGTTAACCAATCAAATTAATCAAAAAAGTTTGATTGTGATATTTGGTTGATATGTTCAATCAAAACTAATAAAAAATTTAATATACGAACAATGATAAATGATTTATTACATTAAATTATTTATTATCAACGAAAATTCACTTTAATCTACTTTTCTGTTCCACGCAGACGAATTGCAGTCTTCAAAACTTTAGTTTATATATTAAATTATATTGTTCATTTGATCTAATCATATCTACACTTTGAAATTTAATACCTACAAAATTAGTTAATGTAAAAAATACATGTATTAATATTATTATGAAATAAAGGATAATTATAATTCATATTTAATATAGCAAAGCATTATATCTCGACAAAGCATAAATATAAATAAGTTACTTAGCGATTGATCCAAGCAAAATAATCAAACAAAAATGCCCAGCTATAGATACTAGTAAAAGTTCGCCTATTTAAGAATAGAAAAATAGATATAAAATAAATGAAACTAAGCTTATATAAAGAACTGCAAAACTGGCATCAATTTGCAAAACTTTTCAAGATTTTCTTGCTGCAAATTGCACATAACCTTGTTTTTTTGCATATCTAACTCTATGGCATCATCACTAGTAAAACTTGTGCCTATTTTAGGATCTGAAAAAACTATTTTAGGATCTTTGAAATAGAGGTCTTGTTGAAAAAAAAACCAAGGCTTCGAAAAAGTAAGTATTACAAATTAACCAAACAGAGGACAAATTATGTAAAATAAATCCGCCGGTAATATAAATCGATTTGATTAGCTCAGATTGAGTTTTGTGCAACAGATTATACAGTTGACTCCCTCTAAGTGCATGTCATCGGGACCAGCACTTTGACCTGCATTTAGAGAGAACATGCAATTAGAGAAAAAAATAATATATCATACCGTATAGCCGCAAAATAACGCGCAGGGGCGTTATTTCGAATTTCAGCCCGAATTAAGCTTAATTTAGGCCAAAAATCAAAATTACACCCCTGTGTGTTATTTCGCGACTATACGGTATGATTTGTATACAAATTAATTAAATTAATTAATTTTAATAATTAATTATATTAAAACTTTAAATTGTTAGCTTATTTTAAATAAAAATATATGATGTATCATAAACTTATTAGTACAAAATATTAATTATTATATTACTAATAATATAGTTGTTTATATATAAGTTACTCACACTAATAAGTTAATACAGTATACACATTTAATTTTTATTTTAAGCATATTAATCTTCAGATTTTACGAAGTAAATTCTGAAATCTTAATTACAACTATATAGCACAAGATATAATATTTATATTTCGAATATTCAAAAAAATACTATCACAAGTAATAATTTTTACAATGTTCAAAAAAATAATACTGTGAAAGTTACTTATCAATATTTAGAAAAAGTACTAGCAAAAGCTAATGTTTAAAAAAATAATAGTAACTATATACTATATAATGTTTAATGTTAATATATAAAATAGAAAATTTTTTTTAACATAATTTGGTTTAAAAAAAAGCATAGTAATATAAGTTTAAAAATCTTTATTAGATAATAAAGAGCCTTCACTTATTTCTAACATAAAATTCATCTCTTCTATCATTTCATTATCTCTATTACTACTAGAGATAAAAAATGAATTTATATTAGCTTGCTGCAATGAGTTGTTTCTTGCATTTCTTGTTGCTTGGCTAACTTTTGAAATCATTTTGATATACTCCATCATATCATCACTCTGTTGTAAAAGATATTGAGTAATTAGATCTAGTGCATCAAGTGCTTCTTTATGTATATAGTTACACATTTCAATACTATTATCTGGTTCCTCTTCATCTTGAGGTTCGTCTGAATGATTTGTGAGATTTACAATATCTTGATCACTAAGAATTTCATTTCCGTTAGTAATATCTTCCTCATGATAATTAATAAAATCATCAATATTCATAGTATTTTGTAAATGAAGAGCATCTATATTTTGCTGTAGTTTACTTAATATATCGTTATTATCAATATAAACTATAATATCATCATTTATAAAAGTATTCTTATTAGTAGTAACAGGAAGAATGTTAGTATGACAAAAACAATTATTAATCATTGTAGAGGAAACATTATGCTAAGCATTTACAATAAAATTTGTAGAAGTAAGAATATCTAAATTATTCTGAGTATTTCCAGACTCATAACAATCTAGGAGCCATTTAACAAATATTGAACAGTAATGGTGCTTGAATGACATTATTATTCCAGCATCTATTGGCTGAATTTTGGAAGTTGTATGTGGAGGCAAAAAATGAATAGTTGTATTTCGAAGATTTATACTATCAATAACATGGCTTGGTGCATTATCCATTAAAAGAATTACTTTACATTCTTCCATTTTTTGATCAAATGCTTTTAACCACTGTTGAAATATTAATCCTATCATCTATGCTTTATTATTTGCTTTATATATTACACCAAGACTTCTTCGATTGACATTTTTGAAAATCGTGAATTTAAATATTTTCCAATTACTAGTTGTTTAAGTTTATCACTTCTATCTACATTCATACATAAAGCAATTGTTAATCTTTTTTTATTTTTTTTTCTACCACTTAGGCAAATTGTTGCCAAAGTAATATCAGGTTCGAGTCTAAGATTTAAACAAAATAAATTTACCATAAAATCTCGAAATAGCGGGCATGGGCGTTATTTTGAAACTTGGCCTAAATTAAGCTTAATTCAGGCCAATTTTGAAATAACGCGCCCATGCCTGCTATTTTAAGATTTTACGGTATATTAGCAACAAAACAAAACTAAATAAATAATGAAATTCAAAAAAAATAATTATAATAAACTGGTAAAGTAATCCAGTTTCATCCATATTGTATATATCTTGCAAATGATAATGTGCCAATCTCTCTTTCAATACTGGAATAGCTACTGCAATGGCACTTTTATCAACAGAAGCATCTTCACCATGACATTTAATTTTTTTAATTTCATGTTGTTTTTTAAATCTAAACAACCATCCTGTAGAAAATTTAAGCTTATCATCCGGAATGTTGAGTATTTGTGCAAATCTTTTCGCTTTTTCTTTCAAGATTGCATCACTTAATATAATATAAGCTTGGTTTCATAAAACCCATTTTTGTAATGAATTTTCTAGCTCAGGATGTCGAACTGCTCTAGAATGTTTTTGTATAAATTTTTTTCAAGTTCATTACTACTTCATTTTAGTATTCTTCCAATTGTTGTATCATGAATCTCTAGACCAAATTGAATTTTAACCCAATTAGCAATTTCAATATAGATAAGAGCAAGATTTTCATTTTTATGTTTGATAATTGCTAGTCACTGATTATTATTTAATGTAGTTCTTTTGATCATTGTAGACATTTGATGAAATAGATTTGATAAAACTCCAATTTAAATAATTTCGCTCTTTTCAAAATGGTAGAACAATTATATTTTATGAATTCTACAAATTCTTAACGTATAGAATTTTGGAATTTATGGAATTCATAAAATTCAATTGTTTTATTAATTTTAAAAATACGAATAATATCATATTTAATACAAGGAGTTTTATTTAAATAATATGCCAAAACAATACTGATACTAGATTTTGTTTAATAAAATTTTCAGGTCTTGCTTAATATTCATATCGATATAGCTTCTAAGTTTTTATCTTCGCAAATCAAAAAGATGGCTAAGCAAAAATAATCCTGTCAAATTTAGTAATATAGCAATTAATTCAAAATAGGTATGTAATTGAGCTAATTCTGTAATTACTATATGAAGTACATATATAGCTTATTTTATAACTTAATTAATTGCCTTTTTTAATATTATCAATACAGCATTTTCATTTTTAAAATTGGCACCTTGGGTAGGTTAGAATTTATTGGCAGGTTAGCATTTTATTGTCAAAGAATCAAGTTTTATGACTGAACTTTTTCAATTTGTACAGAATTCTGCTATTTTGTAACTTTATAACAAAGCTAGCCACTTTATACCAAAAATAATCCAGTCGGACTTGATTATACAACAATTAATTCTAAATTAGTGATGGGAATTTCTAATTGTTAACTATATAAATCATGTTAACAATTTAATTGTTAAAATGATTTATATATCGATTTATATATAAATCATTTTAACAATTTAATTGTTAACATGATTTATATTGTTAACAATTAGAAATTCCAATTGCTATTCTAAATATATGATTGAGCTAACACTAATACTATGTTAATATCCACCTATATCACCACAAAGACCATTTGTTTTTAAATTTATTTACTGGCATTAGAATTAATGATTAATACAATAATGACAATATTTGATTAATAATAATACACATGATGATAAGAATAAGAATAACTATTTACACTTTCTTTAATATCGTAAAATGTAAAATCCAAAACTTTGTTCATCTTGTCATATTATAAAACCCATTATTGTATTTCAAAGTAATCAAAAAACACGCTTTGAGTATTCAACCTGAAAAAGAAAATGTGAAACTCAAATTTTAAATGATATTTGTAAGCAAAAGAAAATGCTATAAAATCTGACATATAGTTTATAGTCTTATAGATATTAAAGAAGAAAGCAATATGCATATGAATCTTGAGATAGTTGTAGATATTTCTCAAATAATTAGTGAATTAGAATTAAATAACATAGAGAAAGTCTTTGTAAGTTCATTAGCACTTAAGATCATAAAGAAGAGATGGCTATTCATATGTTTGCTATAAAAATATGATAATCAACAAATCAAGACTACTTACTTCGTTAACCTATTGGTGTAATTCTTACTGTGAATAGATATGTGAGTAATATTGAACGAAAATGATCAAATAGATTAGATTATTCATGATGACTATTCACAAACTTCATGTAAAAAATCTATTTATAGCTATGAATTCGAAAAAGAAAGAAAAAAAAACAATGATGAAACTAAACAGCGCAATAAAAAACTAAGAATCGAATATTATGACTGAGAAGAAATGATTATAGAGAAATTAAGTACTAAAGATAGTGAATCCAAATCAGAAGTTTTAAAAAAGCACAAAAAACTCTTCATGAGGTATAAAAATTTTATTTTTTTTATCATTACTATGTTTACATGTTTATATAAATGTATTTTATTATTTTTTTGGCACTTGAAAAATATAATAATCTTTCTAAACAAAAAAAATGAGATCAAAGCATTGAATCGAGCTTTAAGCCTATCCAAAAAATGGTAGATAGCATTTAAAATTTCAAACAAGCAAAAAAAAACTTCCAAAACTTGGAGTGATCATAACAAAAACATATTTACTAGTAGCATTTGAAGTTTTATACATATATTAAAAATTTGAATTTGAATATAAAAGCATTTAAAATTTTGAATTTATGTAATCCAACTTAGAGTTTGCAGTGGTAATTAAGTAAATTGTAATAAATAATTTGAATAATAATAATAATAATAATAAAGCTTCAATTATTTTTTTTCAGATTGAAATTTAAAACCCAGTTACGTACATGATTTTGGTGGTGATGCTACAGAATTAATGCTATAGATAAATTGGCACCTCATTGTACAAAGAACCAAGATTTGTACTTGTACAAAATTCTGTTATTTTATCATTATATATAGTATATAGTTTAAATTTTATATTAAGGCTAGTTTGCTATGTAGTATAGCAGTATAAGAGTTTAGCTAATAATATTAGTGCAATTATTGTTATTATTTCTAGAAGTATATTCTAGTTTGCACTATCATATACTATATAGTCCTAATTAAAAAATATTTAATAAAGTTAATATTTAGCTTAAATATATTCAATAATAATATTGCATACAATGTTTTTCTAAACTAAAGATATATCAATATATATAATACAATTATATACAGTACATTAAATTTTGTATCTTAGTATAATTGGTTACTTGAACTTGATCACGTGAAATGAATTTAAAGAGTATATATATATATATAATGGCCTAAAAAAATAACCTGCATTTAGAGAATATAGAACATGCACTTATTTTATAAGTCCCAATACGGGACCAGGCCATTTTGATACATTTAGAGAGAACATGCACTTAGAGGAAGTTGACTGTATTTTATGATATTAACAAATAGAAATAGATACAACAAATCGAGTAATTCTTCAGTATTTAAAGATATACTAACTTCATGTTTTTCTCCAAATTGTTGTTTTAGATGTTTCAATAAATGGTACTCTTTTATGTTTTAAGTTAACTCTCTTTTCCTTCATTGAAATAGTCTCTTATGCAATTCAACTTTCTGTAATATTTTATCTTGTAGTGTTTCAATATATATAATTTTTCACTTCTTGTATTATTTCTTGCAACACATAATTATCTCATTTTCTAGACAATGCATCTATTTGCTATTTTTCTTTTATTAAGACATATCATAATTATAGTATTAATAAAGAAAATTTAATAGTAGTTAATACTGATTTTAATAATTTTTATCTTGAGTTTTTTTATATATTCATGACTAGAAAAAGGGATTAGAAAGCTGTATTGTTACTGCCCTAATGATTAAGATCATGATCTTAATCAGTTTGAGTATATTTAATTTTACTGAGATAATCATTAGCCATAGTATATATTAGGATCTAGTAATAATTAAAAGGCATTGATAGTTTGAAGAAGAGCAATACTTTAGTCAAGATGTATGAGGTTCTGTAATAAAAATAATTTAGACCCAATATTAAAACTATATATAAATAAAAAAGAATCAATAGTCACTCTGCAGAAGACACTTGCTGGGTGGCCCAGAAAAAGAAAAATTTTAATGCTCAAAGAATATAAAAAGACACCAGTACAAAAAACAAGAGTGACAGCCCTTGTTCTAAGGAAAAGAAAAGCAATAGATATAGCAAGAAAAGACAAGGCAAAGAAAATGAAGAAGGTTCATAACACAAGGCTTAAAAATAGTGAAACAGCAAACATTCAAAATACAACAACACTTATACTTACAAACCCAAAATAACATGTCTCTCCTGATATAACTAACTCAAGCACAATGTGTTCAATATCATCAGATTGGTTAGAGATAGTGGAATATGAAATGGCAGCCAAAACCCAACAGGAAAGGCATAAGGCTAATGTCATTTGTGAGGAAAATTCTACAGCTCCCAAAGAAGAAAGTTCTGGAAATTTGTATAATGAGAGATCAGATAAGGAAAATTTACCTAATTTGCAAGTAGGCACAAGCAATATTAATATAAAGTCAAACACCTCAGAGAAAATTGGAAACAATATACTCTCTTAGGAAACAAAATCATAGTCAAGTTTCTTCACTAAGCCAACAAGGTGAAGGGCCACTTACTCTGCTATTTCCCCCAGAATCAATATAAGTACAAAAAACAACAACACATTGATGTTTAATATACAAAAACTTAATGAGATCTCTACCAATAAGATAGTAGCTACACGATACAGCAAGATAGGAGCAGACTTTAAAGGTGCTAAACTGCATTTCATTAAAGGAAATCACATATATCTAGAAATAATTTTTGCAGATAAACAATGAATGAAAAAATATGCAAAAGATGGCATATATTTGTTTCAACAAACTTTTTATAGTTTCATCTTATCTAGAACTAATTAAGAATTATTATTAGTAAAACTAAGAAGAGTACCAATTACAAATAGAAAACAAATTATAGAGAAAATTAAAAGTGTTTTCAACAATGTGGGTACCATCATGGCGATTAAACCCTTCTATATAAAAAAACTCTAATACAATTAAACCAATAGGTCGTGATTTTTGATGTAACAAATAATAGTAGTTTAATACAAAAAATCCCAAGATACATTAATATAATGGACCAGAAGGTTGTAACAAAATGGAAAGAGGCTTCAAAACTCTGCTATTTCTGTGATGAGAAAGGTCATTTAAAAAGAGACTGTAAACAATTAAAGGAAGCCAACAAATTAAACTGATACTACAAAAAATACAAAGAGCTCAAGAGCAAGCAAAAGTTAAAAGACAAAACATCAGAACCCACATAAGAAATAAAAGGAAAAAAACAGAAAATGCTCACGGTGATAAAACTTAAAAACTTAACATACAAGAGACTACAATAGTAGTGCAGAATATATATATAGAAGAGGTGGATCATTTGCCAGAACCATAGCAGGTGTAATTAAGTTCATATAATAAAAGTGCAAAGATATCGATCAGTTTAAAACCTACTACAGCATCACCAATTGTGCAAAATAAAGGTAATAGTATGTTAGAAAGTCTGATAACAAGCCAAGAAAAAGATAATCAAAGAAAGAGTATTATGATATACAATTAGCAAATGCCAATAAATAGCCTGCTCAAAAAAATAATTTAACCAGATGTGAATGATGAATTCATTGAAGTTAAATATAGTAAGAAAAAAAGAAAAAAAAGAAAAAAAAGAAAATTTGGGCTCAAACAAAAAACCTAAAATATCACAACAATGAAAGAAAAACACATTATTACAATTGCGACATTAAATGTTAAAGGGCTTAATAATAGAATTAAATGCAAAGAAACTCTTACTCTCCTTAAATTATACAAAATAAACAGGGTTGGCATAGACTGGTCAATAGTCAAGCTTGACCAGATTAGTTTAACCAATTTGGTTGGTTAAAGAGTTTAGTATTGGTCAAATTGGTCAAAGGATATTTAAATATATAGTATATATATGTATATATATATATATATATATATTTACTTTGTATACTAAATTTATTTATTTAATAGACTAGGCTATTTGACCAATTTGAC